AGGATCACTGATTGGAGTTTACTACGAAAATAGCACTGAGACACCAAGGTTTCCGATTAATTTTTTTAAAACTCATATTCCATTTTTTTACAGAGTTTTGTGATTTTTTTCATTACAGGATCCATGTTGTTTTGAATGGTTTTGACATTTGTCCTAACTTTGGACCAATTCCTTCGAACCTTCCCTTTTTCGCTGTCGTTGATGTATTCGGAAGTACAAAGGAGGTGAGAAAGTTTTAAATTCATCTCAAGTATAGTTATTTTGTTGATAAGTTCAATGTTCACTTGTGCCGCGTTGATTGTGGCGAAGGATGTATCTAGCCTTCTTGCAGATTGAACGGTTTACCATGTTGATTTTTGAGGCGCAACGTGACTCGGGGGGGGGGGCAGTCGTCGCCGCGGCGCGCAGCTGTTCGTATACTTCAGTGCGGAGCTGGAATCCCGTGAGCCGAGGGGAGTGTAGCCAGTTCAGGAGAGGCTCTATTTTCTTTGTCCCCTATCATTTTGCACGAGGAATTTTAAGAGCATGAGAATTAATTAGGAGCACAAGAAAAACGAAGTATGCACAGGCTTCGTTATGAGAAAACCCAGATCTTATAAAATCTCTTCAGGATGGAAAATGCTCTAAAGAAATGACTCTTCGGAGCACTGCATTTCTAATGCATGCTTTTCTTCACAGGAGAGCCTTGCTAGCCAGCATACACATTTGCCAGCACAGTCCTTTTCCCAGAGAAAAAATGCGGTCTAAAAAAGCTGTATTTCAAATTTACCTCATTGGAACATTTATAGGTGCGAGTTGTATATCCGGGTCCACGCATGCCAGCACGTCTGTACACTCTTTGTTCGGATCGACTGCGATGCCTTTATAATGAGAGGAAATGTTCCTTGTCTGGCTTACCGGCACCTCTACGCATTCAGCTGGAGCAAGAGTGGAACAGAGACACTCGAGACGCCTCATATTATGACTGGGAAGGAGTGCGGTAGTTGCGGTTGCACTAGGGCTTCCATCCATACCTTGTAAATTTCTTGTAGTTAAGAAACGGTAACCAGTACACGAGTGTGACTTCTCCAGACAATTTGTTTTGTCTTAACTGTAGCCTTTAATTTAATAAATAATAACTGTACTTTGTTAAAAAACAAACCTCTGTTCTGGTCAAAAATCACACCTGTTCCAGAAGAAACAGGTCCGTTAGTTTGTCCATAGAATTTTATCGGGGCTATTTATGTCTAGCATTGCTGCTTCGGACCTTAGGATTTCAAATGAAACTTCCATGCACGGCAAAGAAACTGGTCAACGATCCTCAACGATGACCATGCCATGCTTTCACGGCCATGTGACCGTGCGTTGTAAAACCAACTTCAGCAGAACATTGAGAAGCGACACGTATATTTACTATTTACACAATGTGACCAGTATTAAAGGCCGATTTCATATTCTTCATCGACTTTCATCATCTCCAATGCCTCTTGCGATGATGGCTCATCCCATTTCATCTCCAACATTTTCAAGCGAGATTTGAAGTCTGTTTCAAAGATTTGATCCTTCCACTTATTGTAAGTAAAAGGTACGAGGGTGGGCCTGCAGTTATTACGTTTCCTTCGTTGACGTTTCGCATCGGTTGCTAGTTGATCTGCCAATTTCATGAGTCTTCTTTCATTCATATGCAATATAGACATCGTCGTATACAATGCCCGCATTGAATTGGGACTGAAAAAGCAGTTGAACTTCAGCATGAATGCGGAGAAAACAGGACTTAATAGTAAAATACCTACTATTGGATTTTCTTTCGACGGTAGATCTTATCAAAAGTGTGCTCCAGATGGCAGATGGAGACACCTCTACGCGAAGTAGCGGATTGTAAGCTTTTTTGGAAGAACTTGTCCAAAATGACGTCGCGAAAACGCTGGTAAGCATAACCTCTTAAGTAATGCGGTTCCGATCGTACACCTGTCGAAGGTGGATGAGCACAGCGCGTGTGCATTCCAGTGATCTCTTCCTGAACTGTGAGAATATGAAAGGGCTTGGCGCTCATGTTCTTAGGGGTGGGGCATTTGAAACAGGGCGCTGGTGGGTGACACTGGGACTAACAAGGAAAGGCTCCCAGGTCGCCATGGCCATTCAAGAAGAGATGTATACTAGATGTGCCTTGAACGCTGATCTCAAATCTACCTTCCAAATCTGCTAAACGATTCTCTGAACGGAGTTATGAAGCAAAACAGCGCAACGGTAGTGGTCGGGACTCACAGTCAAAACGTCGTAGGATCGGTCCCTTATCGTGTTTACTGTTTTCCATTCTTCAGGAATACAGCTAAACGGCTTTTAATAGCCTATTTAACTGAATTCCTGAAGAATGCAAACAGTAATTACGATAAGGGACCGATCCTACGACATTTTGACTGTGAGTCCCGACCACTACCGTTGCGCTGTTTTGCTTCATAACTCCGTTCAAAGAATCGTTTAGCAGATTTGGAAGGCACACATAGGCGCATACATCTCTTCTTGAATGGCCATGGCGACCTGGGAGCCTTTCGTTGCAAGCCCAGGAATGGGAATAAACACCAGGGAAAACAGTGGTTGCTCACATCCTCTCCCAGAATCCTTTCCTCTCCCCAAGGCTTAGTCTGAAATTCTATGAGTGGTTCTCTCACTTCAATGTTTCCCCTAAGAACATGAACGCCAAGGGCTCTAATGGACGGAATAAACAGCACTCACCACAGGCCACTCGTGCACACCTCTCACATGCATCAGGCATGTGTTGAAAAAAGGAGGGATGTCCAAACCAGTCCTCATTCCAACTTCGATCGCAGCATTTAGGTGTTTCTTCACATGCTCTATCCACAGACAAATAGAACCACACCCTAGCTCTCTGGCCGCCTGAAGTATGAGTCCTTATTCTACAAAAACAGATACAGGTTTCGAATTCTGAAGCAGCAAACAAACAGTGAAAGCTTCTGTTGAGTGAGAAGCATGATAAGAAACAATAAGTGCAGCTGGTTGTGACCATGCTTCGCACTGATTGCTATAGCGTGTACAGAGTTATATGCTGCTGCCAAAGCTGCAGTCCTATAGGGACATTTTTGACAGGTATGCAGAGCGTTTAAAGGACGAATTCACGCTGAAAAGGCAACCCATTTCAAATTAAGTTAGGGATGGTGAGTGGTACACGAAAGAAGGAAAAACCATGAGAAACGGCCCAGAACCCGAGAAATGGGACCCCTTCCTTGCCCGTTGATTTCCGCATTGATGCGACTCTCATCGTGCCCTCTTCAACTACCGCTCTCTCAGCTATTTCGGTGGGGGTACCGCGCCTTTGCACCAGTGCTATGCGTATAGCGATGATATTAGGTTGTCGGAAAAGTCTTTGGCCATTTGTCGATTTTTTTCTAATTCACTTTTCTTCTTTAGCACAGTGAGCAATTTACAAATATATGCCCCCATAATCGCCAACATATTGCCTTTTAGCAGGTAACTCGTGGATGCCGTTTGTCTGGAAATACTGAGCTTTTGAAGCAAAAACCTTGAAGAAGTCCTCTTCGAATAGGTTCGGATCATTAAGCTCTCCCTCTTTTGGTTGATTTGACAGCAACGGAAGGAGATGGAGTTCTGTTAGTGCCGGGTCTGCTGAACGCAACAGGTGGGACAGAACGTCCCATAACGGGCTTGGAGACTTTTGCTGAACCTTCTTCCAAATTCGTTGACGAGCGATGCCTGGATAAAGAACCCATACATTTGCCCATATTATGGTTCAACAATAGCAGTGCAGTTCTTTGGTAGGAGCTGTCAGTGAACGAATCGCTTGGAGCTTCACCAATTCTGAAAGTTACCTCTCAGGTTGCAGTGCTGGAATCGGCGCTGGAATCCTTTTCTACGCGTCTGGGCCACTGGCGCTTCCGACTGCAGTTTACGTGAGGAACCCCCTTCTGATTACCACCAACAAAGTAGTCGGGTCAAACAAGAGACAGACGGTAAATCAAAATGTTCATGCAAAATCTGAAGGCCTCTGACGGCGGTTGTCACCCATGTCACGAAATCTCCTTTTGCCATAATTTCTTTCTTTTTGAGAGCTATTGAGGAATGGCTATTGTGTTCTGATAACTGTGGAAAAGCTGTGTCAGTTACCGTGCATTGCACCGGAGACTGTTTCCAAACAGCTCCAGAAGACACTCGTCATTCAGTGTAACAAGCCAACCGAATTTGTGCATTTTTCTCGAGTTTCTGGACTTCGGCAACCAAATGTTTACCATGTCGTGAAAGACACTCTGGGGTTCCATCGCAAGACGTGAGCTCTTGCCGCATCGCTTCCATTGACGCGTTTTCTGGGTTTTAGAAACAGAGCAGCCAAACATGCTTTCAGTCAAAGACGATTTTCTCAGCCATAATCGCTGTGAGAAACCACGACAGAAATGCTATGAAGAGATCATTGACTAGGGTTACATACGTTTTACAAGAAATGTTCAAAATTATCCCTGAAGATTTTACAACAACATGTAGATCGAAATGGCCAAAGACTTTCCCGACAACCTAATAGATTGCCGGGGTCAAATCTTTCGCTGCCAACTGTCGTCGGTCCGCCCTCAGGAGGCCCGCCTATCTCCCAATTGAGCGTCGGCTTTCCCCTTATTTTACCTTCGTTCTTCGTGGGATTTCTTCAGCAGAGTTGGTGTGGCGATAGGTGGCTGATCACAACACGTCTGGTCAGATCAAACCTGGATTCCACCCAAGCCAAGCTTTCCATTTGATTGTGGTCGGTAGGCACCTCGCCTAGGAGGGTAGAAGCGCTGAATCGTACACCGAAAAATAAATGGATAGATTCACATCGCATACAAAACCACTATTCCGAATACAAAAAAATGCATAGCTCATTCCAAATAGATGTATCTACGCGAAATGGTCTATTCATTTCGGGTCCCTGCTGTTATGGAGGCCTAACGACGAGAATATGGCGCATCCCAATTCATACATATAAACGATTCGCGTTCTTGGCTGGCATGATCGCTATCTTTAACATATTCAAAACTTTCACCTTTCGAAGCTCTGCCTCCAGCCATCTAATCAGTTCATTTTTGCTACTATGACGATGAACGTGGCCATATTCTGCCTCCATTTCGTCGAAAAGAGTATCCAATGAGGTAAAACGCCCTGTGATCAAAGAAGAGACGGGTAACTTCTCCTTGTGTAATCGTTGAATGAAATGCTTGGTCCTTTGTTCGAGCGTCTGGCTCATCTGAAAGAAAAGTTTCTTTTTTAAATTGAAGTCTCAAATATAAAAAAAATTCCCAGCTGCTATGGACAAAAAAGTCAGAGCTTAATGGGAAAGAAGGAAAGGCACTAAAAGTATCGTGCAAAGAAGAGAATGAATACTCGGTGCAAGATTAGTTGGGGTGGAACCAGGGTCAACCGTCCGTTCGAACTGTTCGAACGAAGGGGTCGCATTTTGGTCGGAAGGGGGTCGCAATTTCGAGGACTGCCAGCCACAGGCGCGTGCGTGGCGTATCCGAGGGCAAGACTTGCTTGTGCAGACCGCATTAGATTCGATTTATTATGCACAGAGAGCAGTTTTAGGCAAATTACGGTGTTTTCCTACGCAGTAAAGAAGTGTTGAATGCATCCTTATGAAAGGTTTGACTTCTCGGGGCTGAAAATAAAGTTCTTCAAAGACCTAATTTTTTGGGGCGCTTCTTCTAGAGAACTGTAATATACATGAGTAAGCGTAAATCTCGTAGTCTTCAAAAATGTCTTCTTCCCCTCCCCAACAAGCTTTTTGAAGGAAGTTATTATTGCTGAAAGCTCAAAAACTCGCATGTGCTGCTCAAAAACCTATGGGAACAAAATGTTCGAACGTGTGATTTTCTCGGAAAAATGAACTTTGAAAAACACGGGTCTCACTAGCGCTTGGGGATAACCAGTGACCCCGAACTATAGCACTTAAGGCATTTCTCTCAGCACCGACTACTGAGATTTAGGAGCAAGGTTCGAAACGAAAGTGGAATATACTTCACAATGTCAAAAATGGATAAGAGAGAAAGCGTGACCGGCGCCTGCAGACAAGAGCTGCAAGAGAGATCTGCACGTTTTCGCGATCGTATTGAGAATAGTCTCCGAGAGTGCAGCGCGCGCTGACAGCTTTCTTAAAATCAGGGTCAACATGTCGACTAACTGTGAGCTGTGTTACTCTGGTTTGAATCACAGAGATATTCACCGTAATATGTTAAAGTTCATGCAGCATGGAACGCACGCTTTTCCCCATTACCTGAAGGTAACGCTCGCGATACGAAGCATGAGCAATCTTGTAATTTTCTCCGCTATACGCTGTCTATCCCTATCATGGTGTCCCTTATACATAATCAATAATTCTCCCATCAATCGCTGAGAGCAATCGTAATGCTAGCCACAAAGTACGCAACATGGAGAGAAGTTTCGTGATCCGCGTCAAGTCTCTCCGAAAACAGGTCTAACTCCCTTCGTCGCTCTACGGACTACTTTATTATCTGGGGAATTCGACCGCACACACTGTCCCAAGTTTTTCTATTCAATCTAGAACTCTACCGAATGATATCACCTTTTCTGCCCAATTTTGTCGCTCCGTGAAGCGCACCTGACTGATCAATATTTAGCGACAATCGAGCGACATTCCGCATAAGAAGAGATCGTGTCCTATATTCAGATCAAGCGCACGCGTCATAGCCTTCTATCTCGAATCTATCTCTCCAACTGTTAGCCCTTATCTAATGACAAGCGAGATAAGATCAGTTACCATTGTCGCAATTAACGCACCTTAGAACGAAATCAAACCCCGCGAATATCATAAGGTTCTAATTTCTTCTCTTAGACCAAGCAGGTCGCGCTCAGATGGAGCGAGTACAAGCCTACCTACACAGCACAAATTGTCTCGTTACTACGACCTACAAATTACGTGCAAATCCATTCAAAAATGTTCTCATATATGTCAAAGACCCTGCAACTACCTACAGCGAGTTGTCGCACTATTGAGAGCGCTGCGACATCTTGACAAGTGGCGTGACTTTGCAGTACACCGTTGAAAGTGGCGGCTTCCTTTAAACGTTGGGTCCCGCCACTATTGAGTCGCTGGTACCTAGTTCGACTCGCTGGTACATCGTTCGACTCGCTGGCGCAAAGTTCGATTCGCTGGTGCAACGTTCGATTCGCTGGCGCAACGCTCGGATCCAGCGATTCGCTAGCGAATCGCTCGATTCGCAAACTATGACATCGGCCAAGCTGACGCGACGACGCAGACGCTTTCTGGCGCAACGGATTCATGTCTAGCACTCTTATTAACAAAAACAGGGGGTCGCAACTGGACCCCCTCGAGAGCTAGGGGGTCGCAAAAATCCCGAAAATGTTCGAACGTGACGGTTGACCCTGGTGGGGACCAGGGCAGCGGGCGGCGCTCTGTTCGTCTGCTCTCTCTAAGGCTTAGTCCAAGGGGCAGTTACTATTTCGTCGCCACGTGGCAGTTTCGAAATACGCGCCATCGGCGGACTAAGCTCTTGTGGAGGAGCAGACGAACAGAGCGCCGCGCCGCCGCGTGATCCCCCCGCCCCCCCCCCCAACTAAGTTAGCACCGAAACGCTGGGATTTGCAAATACTCAAGACAAGTAAAACGCACCCATGGCTGATTCAGAATGCAGGATTAATTTTGTCCGCGCATCACTGAAAATTGCCTTGCAAGCTCGTCCATGAGTGCAGGGCCCGTTTTTTGTCGTATCCACAGCAAGTTGGAGACCTTCTCCTTTCTAAATAGCTATCAATAGAAAACCTTCATCAGCCTCCTTCTGGATGCCAACTATTATTCAGCAGGATTTTTTTTGCAACATTCGTTCCTCGTTCTTTCAGAACTTCATCCTTGTCCGGTCAAAACAATGCATACCGTGCAAACGAATGTCCGTAGCTTCATCTGCCTAGTAAAAACCATAGACTACTTCAAGTTTCCACCCATACAGAAAACCTTCTCTTTATTGCATCCAACTGAAATCTCCATCCCACCCCCGCACAACCACCTGCTTCCCCTGTTTGTTTATTATAGGTCTCAGTAACATGTTATCGATTGCCCCCTTCTTCAATAAGAAATTCAAGACCGCACATGTCGCTCGTTGGCGCCTGTTTGGCAGGACACTCCGTTAGGGGAACCAGAAATGCACCATTTCCAGATTTTCACAAACGTGCAGCGATTGTGCTACTGTGGTGAAGTGGAACCCATGCTGCAGCCATACAGCGCGTCGACTGGTGAAGATCGGCGACATAATGTTGGCTTCAGCAAGCCATCTAAGGTAATCGCCTGTCGAACAAAAGCGCCAAATTCGAAGCGAGGAGCCAACTGCAGGGGAAGTACTGGTGGGAGGGGGTAGACTCTACATTACATCCGATAATGAACTCATTACACTTCGCTGAATCCAATCGCGCAACTCAAACTTAAAGATGACCATTCCGTCGCTTTGTAACAACTTTCATACAGCCCCTATCTGACGAATCAGAAGAATTTGCCATCTGGGGATTGTAGCACGGGTCGAGTCAAGAGAGTTCTCGCTAACGATGCCCGACCGTTACGTGACGTAGGTCTGAAGCACACGCTCGGAAGGGGTCTTCACAGCAGAGCTAACTATCCTCTGAAAGCCATCCCATCGTCAGGTAACTCGATTGAAGAACTTAGTATCATCTTCACGCCGTAGTCAATTACGTAGACCTGCTCTTGAACTCGACGGCTGCAGAGACGGTTAACTCTGAGCTGGTAACCCGTGAGGAGGGCACAGCTTCGCTCATGGTAGGGCACCCAATAAATCTTTCGCCGTAGAGCTCCAGGGAACTCTGTACGACGAAAAGATTGCTGATGTGCGCCATAGGCGCAACATTTTATTTTTTACTCCCTGTAGGCGGTGGCCCGGTGATAGTTGTGGACCCTTATAGTGCTGATTCGCACAGTCCCTCGTTCACATTTAAGCCCAAGCGGTACTCGAAAAGGAGCAGCCGAAGGGCATCTTGAAAAAATCATCCTTTTTAACACAGGTGTAGAGATTGGCGAAACCAAAGTGAACTTTCCGGTATTCTTCAGGGTCCCTTTTATAGACCCACATCCGTAGAAGTTTCAAAAGAATCCAGAAATCCTAGGTGGAATTTTTCGAATGTTGCAAAATTTTACAGTTTAATATATTGCCCAGATGTGCTGTTAAGGCGCAAACGCCTAGCTAACGAGCAAAAAATTGTTTCATAAGCACCTCATAGAACAGCCGAACGATTTTCAACCACTGGTCTTGTTGTGCGTGATAAACATCAGCCATATTTCTTTTTGTCCACTCGAAAACTTTCCAGAAGAAAGCTTGTCGGAAGAAACTCAAGTTCAGAAGTCCAGCCCATCGTTGGAGCTCCTGAACAACATGTTTAGCAGTATCACTATGAACAATTATCAAATGTCTTCAACTTACGACGTATCGGAAACCCGTAGTGATCGCTGCCACCGATGCGGTAACGTTTCCTTTGAAAGATTTTTCTCGATTGTGCTGCACGAAATGACGCTGACATATCCAGTGTTTAATGCTTGGGGCATGCCGGGAGCAGGAAGGGCAGATATACCGCACGATGGCTGCCGTCCCTACCGCACTCAGTCGACTTTGTTCCAACTTATTTCCACATTCCGGACAGAATCGGAACAACTTCATGAGCATTTCGCCTTGAGCAAGATAGTACTTGCTATTTGCAGTGGGTTCGGTCTCACCGATGGAATCCACATATGAAGCTGTAACGTCGTAGATCGAACTCGGAGTCTTGCTGATAGCTGTCGCTGCGGTCGTACTCGTAGAGTCAACCATGTTGGCATAGACATAGTTACCAGAGCTGTTCAAGCAGTCTGACTGCCGTAAGCTGGGGCTCTCCCAAAAGGCGCACGCATGGAACCATGCCGTTGCTGGAACTCTGGGACATGTATGGATGTGAGTATTGGTGTTCGTGAGCGTTCGTAGTCACTGGTACTGCCGACACACGTACTGCATAAATTGGTCGACCCTAAAGCGATGTGCCATTACTTATATGCCCAAGTGTTATTCGCTCTCCAACTAACCATGGTGATTTTCACTGACGGCACACAAACGTTATCTGGAGGGTGCGAACGACCCGACGATATGCGCTCTTCATTATCTGTACACAAACTCTGGCTATTCTCGGCTTTCTTTGGCAGCTGCGATGCAGTTTTTTCTGAACAACCGCTTTGACTGTTGCTGGTTTGTTCAAGCGGCCACAAAGGAGTGGCGTGATATCGTCGAATGGATCCATTCATGAACTGGCAAATATCCCTTTCTGTAGCAAAGCCGTCCGCCTAAACACAGAAATTGGCATTATTTACCCTTTACTGCCCCACTCCTCGAGAACTGAGCCGGATTTTTATCGAAACTGTGAATTTGGCCAGAAACTTGCCTTCAGGGGTAATTCGACCCGTAGAACACGAATATCACATTTGTTTACCGCTAGAACGCCTGGCGCTCGCGCCAGAAGCGCCGGCGCCAAAAGGCGCCAGAACATCTCGGATCACCAAATTCGCTGGAAACTTGTCCTTCAGAGGTATTTTGACCCGTAGAACATGAATATCACATTAGTTCGTTACGAGTGAGCCTGTAGCCTGCGCTACGGGCGCCCGCGCAAAACTGTTGTGATAGCGCCGGCGCCTGTGGCGCGGGCGCCAAGCGTTTTCGCGCTAAACCGGTGTGATATTCGTGTTCTACGGGTCAAATTACCCCTGAAGGCAAGTTTCTAGCCAAATCCACAGTCATGGACGAATTTCGATCAAAATCCGGCTCAGTTCTTGAGGAGTGGGGCAGTAAAGGGTAAATAGTGCCCAGAAATTTATCCCGTGTTCAATAAGAGGTTAAAAGCAGTAATTACGATGGCTGGAGAGCGGTGCGGTTCAAACATCATCGGTGGACCAGACCCTCAGAGGCGCTGGAGGGTGTAGCTAAGACCACCTCCTAGTGCCATACCACCGGACACGTTCATCAAAATCAAAAAACAAATTTAGGTGAGATAGAAAAATGCTTACATTCATGGCAACCATAAAATCGTTCACTAACTTAACGATTTTGGATGGTATAGCGTATGCAGTGACATAAGCCGTACTTCTTGGACTTAGTGGATCTTCAAAAATGAAGCTAGCGCTTTCACCAACTCAATTCTCCAGCGCTATGTATTGTGGCCTGAAAAGACAAGTGATAAAACACACTGACTTGAACATCGGCTGGCCCCCGCAAGTCATTGTATAGGCCACATCGCATTCACTACGAATGTACAAATGGAAGTAGAATGCGTGCCGCATCCCAAGACGGGATTGATCAACGGCAAATGCTTTATCCTTCATCCTTTATAAATTGTTAAATTGCTGGCTGTGCTAAAGTGGAGGAAAGAAATTGAAAAAAAATCGACAATTTGGCCAAAGGCTTTTCCGACAACCTTTCGTCATCGACACAACAACCCTACTAAATGAGAACTGGGGTTTCATTCTTGAAGGGAAATGGGTTGGGCGACACCTTTGGGGCAAAAGTAGCTGCCCTTTTACAGAATCCCAATCTTATAGCTCAGGAAATACCCGGGTTGCGCTGATCATTTCGATTCCGCTTTTACACCCACCCCTGAGCTTCCTTCTCCTGCGGAAATTTAGATTACTTAAAGCCACGAGTCAGGATTAGGTGACCATAGAAGGCCTTTCCATCACTAAAATTTCCAGGAATGCGCTCAGAGGGGTGTTGCCGCACTCCTGACTCGAGATTGCGCGCCGTCAAGGTTTCTGGCCTACAACTTATAGCGATGGGTTTTGTTACATCAGCTGGTCCCGCCCACCGCGGGATGTGGTGCGTGGCTGGCCTAACGTGTGAGATCAGCTAGGTTGATTGCCGTATCAACCGATGGAACGGCTGGCATATCCGGAAAACTCGTTTGGACGTGGCTCTCCCCCGAGCAAGCCTCCTTCACTGCTAGAAGGGAAGGGGTTTCGATTTCGGTGTTGTCGACGGTTTTTTTCGTTTTTTCTTCACTATCGTTCCACTCCCATCTCTAAACTCAATATCAGGTGCCATAATGCCGAAACACGAGCCTGACTTTTGCCTTTAAGTCACTTGATTAGGCCCTATCACACTGTCGAGCACTTTCGAGACACAGCAGTTCTGTGACACTCTGAGCAGCTCTATACTACTCACAAGACAAATTGTCTGCACACGGGGTTGTTGCATTATGGAAGATTCTACCATTTAGTTCCACATTTCAAGAACAAAGACGCTTCACCTTTTCCAGTAATCAATTGCATTTTGGTACTTTGCTTTAATTTCTCATTGCCTTGGGGAAAATAAAGCTGGCTTTTTGGAACAAAGAAAAAAATGATGTAGGCAAGGACGTAGATAGATTGCAGAGCGAAGACACTTGGTGCGGAAAAAAATTGATATATGTAGGCAAGAAACAAATGATGAAAGTGCATGATAGAGTTGTAAACTATGTAAAAAAAAGTAGCGCATCACGCACAACCGCAAAATGAACTGCTTTTCAACTGTAAACAGAAGCAAAACCAGCAATTCTTGAAACTCCACTTCCACGAAAATAACCCAACTCACCGCCGCGACATAGTGACGATGACACATGTTCTTTCTGCTCGCATTGCAATTGTCGTAAGTAGCCTTCACATTCATTTTCATATTGTATCCACTTGCCAACAAACTCGCTATTATGATCGCATTCTGCACTTTTGATGTAGATGAAGTTCTGAATCCATCAGCCGCATGTTGAGCTGCACATATCACGCAACCCGTTTGTTTCTTTTCCACTTCTATCACGTAAGGCCTGAAAGAATTAACCTATAATAACGAAACACGTTTCCCAGCAACTATAAAAACGAATTGAATCAAATATTAGCGCCACGACAAGATTGAAATCCGCTCACAATGATAAAAATTGGTATTTATTAATGATTCCTTATTCTCTGCAACATTGTGACGGTACTACAAGGTGTCCAACAAGTTATGAGACGCTACAGACCTTGTGTCGCCTAAAAACGCATAGTAGCTTGATGGAACAAACCAACTTCTGGGAAGTATTTGTAACTCTTACCTCAAAGTAATTCCAGAATAGAATTGAGATCTGCAACACATCCCCCGTTAACACGAGCCTTCGGATGAGGGGGATGGCGCGTGCGGTGGCACGCAACTAAGGCGTGTCCAAATGTTTCCAGGCCTTCTGCTCTGCCTTCTTCAGGGAATCAAACTTTTGTGTTGCATTTATTTGCGCTTGCATCCAGGGTGTGAAATACAGAAATCTAGAGCTATTAGGTGGATGGTTCCATTGTAACAATTCTTCGAAAGCAACGAACTCGAAAAATCGCTTTTTGGAGGATTTTTGCTTTATTCTTGGGTGCTCGGTCCTGTAAGTCCCAAGTAGACTACTCGTGTGGCTTTCTATCCACTACAGATGTGGAGTCTTTAGAGTGTCTGGCTGGGTTTTCACATCAATTTTTTCATTTTGGGTGTAGAAAG